ATAGTAGAAGATATTCAGGAAGTTAGGGAGTATGCACAAACAGTGCAAGGCTATAGACCTTAGAGGATCTGGGTTAAATAGGGAATCACTAACATATCTCCATTGTAATCCAGAACTAAAATCTCTCTCTAGGCTACACTACCAAGGCAGGATGCTGTTTTTCCAACTACCTCTCACTCCATAAGAAATAGCACATCAGCGTCAAGGAATACCAAAAGACAGAACATGTCATTCATTTATCAAGTGCCAGTTCAGATGGGAAAGCAAATGCATGAATATAACACTCACTGTGCGAATCTAAGACTTGTGAGTACATTGCATGTAATATTGGGCATGAGTAACTTCATCAGCATCATTCATGACCCTGGGGTAAAGTGATTTTATCCTCCACCAATATCTAGAAATGAGCCTGGCATGGAGTGGCCCCCAATATTACCAGTCTTGCTGAACCGCATATGGATGGATATCGGCTGAGAGCAAAGCAATGTGTTTCTGGGGAGCTGGAGCAGAACAAGCAGGGAAATCCGAAGAAAACCCCCAATCACACAGCCTAACTTGAATTGTAATGACTGGACTGAAGGGGGCTTATCTACTCATGGCGTGCTTGGAATCTCGTAGTTAGGACCGAAGTGGTTCTATTTGAGGACAGACAGAAGCCCAAACTGATAACAGCCAAGACTTCAAGAAATCGATGGCCTTATCCAGTTAGAAAGGTTTTATTCTATTTATACTCCCATTCCTGATTGCATTTCAAAGTTACACCAGTCTCCCTGCTGCCTTCCTTCTCCCCTGCCATCTCTCTTCTCTTCGGGCTCAGACCTAGGCAGCAGACAATAGATCCCTGTTGGACACATCTCTTTCATTGGAAATTTACATCATGTAAAGATGATTAGAATCTCACTGAAGACATTCTACCAAGATGTCCACATGACACATTTCCAGCCAATCTCCTTCAGCCATTCTCACTGTTGCTGGCTCTCCACTCCAGTCCTTTCTTTCAGTCTGCCTCTTCTGCCCAGAAATGTCCTTTTTCTCTACTATTGCATATTTATCCCTTTTTCAAAACTCAAGTCAAATGTTAACCAACTTTAGGAAATCTTCATCAATACCACATCTCATTGGTCACTTTGTTGTGTTGGCCTCTGCCTCCCACAAAATGTATGTTTCATTGTGACAGTTTACCTGTGTCAATGCATGCCTTTCCAGGACACCTGCCCCTACATGCACGGCCGAAGCCTCGCTGGCCCAATCTGAGTATCTCAGTGCTTTGGTAACAGAGATACTATGAGGGTGAACTGAAAGAAAATAAATTTCTTTTCTCACAGTCCTTGAGATTAAAAACCAAGTCAGGGTCTCAGCTATGTAAATACATTCTTTGGCTTGTAGACAGTCTTCACCTGGTGTCTGTCTTCCTCCTGTATTAATGCAACATAATTTAATAGATACCTGTCCCTGGGAGCAGGAATCTCAGTTTGTCCACTGTCACTTTATCCACACACACTACGTGTTTTCTGCTTGCTGAGGAAAAATTTCTTCCTCTTTCTATACATAACAAGATGTAAAGAAAACTTATGTAAAAATAGTTTTTACCACCAGTGACACAGTGTGGGAATTGTACCTGATCTGACCCCGCCACACTGAAGCAAAACACTGGGGGAGTGCAGTGGAACAGCAGGGGAGGGGAGTAGCAAGATCCCCAGGGAATGATGAGGGTGGACATTGGAGACAGGG